GCCTGCAGTGCTGCACCCTAACCACTGTGCCACCTCGGCTCTACTCTACTCTACTCTAGTAGAATGTATGCAAAGCCTGCATTAGGTTTCTTGGCTTGGTCCCTTGTGTGATGCACATGCCCGCACACCCAACACACAAATATGATTAACTGGGAGGGATGGGGCTGGGGGAGACCCTCTCTCTGGGGGGGCAGCAATGTCAGCCAACTGGATCTAGCTGCTTGGAAAACAGACTGGTGTAACCGACAGTAACATGAAGGCCCTTCAATCATCTAAAGATGATAACAACAGTGGTGGCTTCAACAGGGACCCAATGTGTCCCCAAACAGACGTTCCCTGGTTGCTGATGGGTATCAAACGCCTCAATTCTTCTGTTATTAAATCTAGCATCCTCTTAAATATCTCTCTTGGGCGTGGCTTTCTTGTGGAAAGTTCTTGTCCTATCTTGTGTTTGCTTTTTCTCATCCTACCTATCTTCTGGAGTTGTCAAAGTTGTGGACTTCATGTCCTGCTTGCCTATGGTTTCTTATCATTTGGCTGAAAAATCAACTAGTTCACCACGAGGAAGTATCTACTAACAACTTGAAGAGCTTCACCACTGGACCTTCTTTAGTACCTACTACCACGGCTCCTACTTCCCTTGGCGATGGTACCAACCCATTCTGAGGCCTGGAGACAGAACACAAAGGAGTAGAACCCTGGAAGGACAGCTGAGAATGCAACACGGAACAGAACAATAGAGATTGGTTCATCCCAACATCACTTCCTGGTCAACTGGTCACTTAGGGAATCTGGCTGCCTGGTCACACCTCATTGGCCTCCTGGACACTTGCCGTTCCACCTGTCTTACTATCCCCTGATGGTCCAGCCCAAGGTACTTCTGTTTCCATTTATATTTTTCCCCTTTTCCCGTGACGACCCGCGGTTTTGAACAACAGCTCAGAATCGCGTTCAGGGAAAGAAAAGAGAGGGAGAAAGAGAAAAACCATTGAAGGGGTTTGAGGTATGATGGTTGTTTGTTAGATACTGTGGTCCTATCCCATAGCACTGTCTGAGACAGTCCAGAGAGGGCAAAAAGAAAGCCACGTAATCGTTCAGGGCGGACTCCTTCTCCTGGCGCTCCATTTTTCAACTCAAGGGGAGGCTCCCCCAAAGTAACGTCAGCCATTCAAATGAAGCCCCAAAATGGCGTCTATCCCAGGTTACCAGATCTGCTCTTTCTTTCTGGGTAAAAAAAACACAGGCCGCCTCTCTTCGCTCACGGCAGTTGATGACATAATACAGATTCTAGGCTCTTCCTTCCGGTGGGGGTGGCTGGGTGTCAATGGAGGGACTGAGGACTCGGCTGATCAAGAAGAGGTGAACCCCCAGAAGCAACCCTTGAGTAGACAAACCTAAAGAGAAAGACCTATCTGCACCCCCTTCCTCCCTAAACTCCAACAAGAATAGCCATGGGAAACGGCTAGGGGGTTCCAGTTGAGCCAAGAGATGCAGACTTGAGAGACAATTGATCTCAAGATCTGAGATGCCGGGGGTTGTCAAAATTTCCCTTCTTCCGGTGAAGAAACCTACTCTCAACCCCCAGGGAAGACACAACATCCAGTGCCTTGCTGTGTCATCTGGACAAATTTCTCTGGTCCACAGATTTCTTTTTTAGTTTTATTTATACTTTTTTCTATAACATCCGTACTTTGGCCACCTAATGAGAAGGAAGGACTCATTAGGAGAAGAGCCTAATGCTGGGAACGATGGAGGGCAAAAGAAGAAGGGGACGGCAGAGAATGAGGTGGCTGGATGGCGTCACTGAAGCAGTCGGCCAGAGGTGGTATTCAGCAGGTTCCGACCAGTTCTGGAGAATCAGTAGCGGAAGTTTTGAGTAGTTCGGAGAACCGGTAAATACTACCTCTGACTGGCTCCACCCTCATCTATTCTCTGCCTCCCGAGTCCCAGCTGATTGGGAGGGAATGGGGATTTTGGGAGGGAGTGGGGATCCTTCCCTTGCCCCAGCCACCAAGCCACACCATGGCCACAGAACCAGTCGTAAAGCAATTTTGAATCCCACCACTGACCCACTCCCTGAGTTTATATAACACACTGAACATATCTAATAAGCCGAGTTCATTCGTGTTAAAACAATATCACTTCTTGGTCAACTCGTCACAGCAAAACTAACAAAATGCTGCAACTCGTACAAATACATTTGCTAGGCCTTTAACGTCCAAAATGTGGTCATTTTTAGGGATTTTATTTTGCTGCCCAGAGATTTCAAAAAAGGCTAGGAAGAAGCACAGGGTTATCTTGTGGTAAGAGGTCACTTTGGCCACATGTGCCATAGGTTCGGTATAAGGCAGTGGTAGTCAACCTGGTCCCTACCGCCCACTAGTGGGCG